AGCCTATAACTTCAGCATTGTTTCAGATAGATAAATGAAATTTCACATGTTAGAATACGATCTAATGTTATGAAAGAATATTCGAGAAAGTTTAGGAGAGATCACTCCCGGTTTACTTTTATTTTATTTTATGTTTTATTTTTTTTTACAAATGACGTTTTATAAAAATAAATTTGATTTTGAAAACAGAAAGAAGAAAATCACCAAAAGGCAAAAGAAAAACTCCAACGAGCTTTCACTAAAGTTCAACATTTTCACTCGACCGTGTCGCCGTCAGAAACCATGGCAACCAAAACGTCACAGAAAAAAGCAACTGATACTACAACACCCGAGTCACACAACATTGAGAGTGACACAAGCAACCCACCAATCAACCGCTACAAAAAAATTGGGAAACACATTGACCTGGTGTCTTTTATAGTTTTTTTCTTCGTCTGGCTGGGCGTAACGGTGGTCTATATGAGTCTCATTGCTACGTCATAGGTTGACGTCACAGCTTTTGTGATTGTTACGTCATAAGTTGCCCGCTCAAGGGTTAACCTGAGTCTTATTGATGCTTGATATGATGACGTCACAGTGGTCTGAAAGAGTTTTTTTTTTGCTACTTCCTTTGTTTTCATCGAGCCCCCCCCCCCCCTCCCGTCCCCCTCCCGTCATTGCAGGGGCGAAGCTACAGATATCATCGAACCTAACAACAGGACCCTGATTTGCAAACTAACTGGCTATACATTTTAATAACACTACTTGGTATCGTCAATGTTAGATTATAATTATTTAAAACTTGGTTGTTATTTTAAATGTAGTGGACAATACTTGTACCGTTATTATAAAATAAATTTGAAATAAAAGTCTGCAAACTCGTGCGTTGCATGTTCTATACTTCTATAAATAGTTCTACTACTACAATAATATCACTTTATTAAAATTGTACCCTGTTCTGACATAGTTCTCAAGGTAGTGGTCACACATCTACCAAGTATTTACACGATAGTGAGGTGGCATTGAGCCATCCACTGTTTTAATTATACCGTTAATAGTTTAATAATTTAGAAAATGAGATTATGATTTTCGTCTGTTGACTGTCAAAGAAATTGACTCGTATTCCTTCCTGAAGTATGTTTGCCAGGCCAGGACCTTCCCAAATTTGCGTCATGAATCACTCAGAATGTCAACTGGGAAACCCCACGTAATGCACGTTATATACATAGATATACACATATATATATATATATATATATATATATATATATATATATATATATATATATATATATATAAACAGAAAGAGAGAGTGAGTGATTGTGTACTTGTCTGAGTCGTTCAATCAACATTTACTGCCATCTGTCTAAGTCCTGTTCATTCTTTAATGTCATCCATCCATTGACGTATTTGGCTTCTCCTTCCTGGCACCGTGTCTCTGCCATTATCTCAGACTAAATCATCCATTCTTCAATCCTATCACACACCCATACACATTTGTAAACATACACTTAAACATACACTTAAACATGCACTTAAACATACACTTAAATATAAACTTAAACATGCACTTAAACATAATCTTAAACATACACTTAAGCATACACTTAAACATACACTTAAACATACACTTAAACATACACTTAAACGCAGGGGCGTAGCGAGGGGGGACCGCACCGGGTGACACCATTTAGGGGGGGCGACACCAAGGCAAAAAATAGCAAAATATATGGAGAAAAACTTGAGGGGGGGTGCAAATCGAAAGTTTGAGGGGGTTCCAAATCGAAAACTTGAAAGTTTGTCCCCGGGAAGGGTCGCTACGCCTCTGGGGGGTGACACCATTAAGTGCCGCACCGGGTGACACCCGACCTCGCTACGCCACTGCTTAAACGTACACTTAAACATACACTTAAACATACACTTAAACATACACTTAAACGTACACTTAAACATACACTTAAACATACACTTAAACTTACACTTAAACATACACTTAAACATACACTTAAACGTACACTTAAACATACACTTAAACATACACTTAAACGTACACTTAAACATAAACTTTTACCTGCAACTACGACTAGTCTACCCTAACCTGAGTAAAGTTTATGCAAATAGAACTAAAAAGGGTAGTGTTAGCATCCTCACAATTTCAGGCCAATTATAGGAACAATGCTCGTTTCGACCCAAGGTCATCGTCACCATACAAAAACTAGTCAAAGAAGATAATCTTGGTCTTTAGACAAATCATGTTTTAACTGTCGAACTAAGTCAACAATTATGTTACTGTTATTAACTACATTAACTACAATCGCTAATCTAACTACCACACGGGGCAGACAGGGATTAGAGATATTGTATATTGGACATCGGTAAATTCATTATTGAACTTTGGTATTTGACATGTATATAGATGTAGACACAGACTTATAATACACGTTCACAACACGTTCACGTACAATAGAAGACACGATTCTTACAAAATGTAAACATAACTATCAAGATAAAAACTATGGTCTACCCCCCCCCCCCCCACACACACACACACACCAAACCACTTTACTTCACGTTACATGTTCTGACGAGTACTTAAGAGCCTTGTGTCAATATGTACTCACTCTCATGATGGTTGGTAAATAAAACGATCTAGTCACGACATCGTAAGTATAGATTTCCATTATCTCAAGCACCTGAGGAAGTGTGGTTATGGTGTGAGGGTTTTCAAATATTGAATCATAAGCGGACGTCAGGGAAACGAATTCAATAAGTTTAGAATCAAGTGAATTCTGTCGATATATTACATGGTTTGAACCGCGGTACAAAACAATTATCCTACCACATAGATAAACACGAATCTAAATTAACACTAGATTAAATTTTAATCCTATCACCTAGCTTAATATATTATTTAGTCATACTGAGCCAATGATGCCATGCCAAAGAACTCAGGTCTAATTTCTCAATACAAAAGATCTCAGTTCTAAAATCTCAAGGCTAAGATTTCACGTCAGGGGAATCTAAGTTCAAATATATGAGGTCAAAGATCTCAGGTCAGAAAATCTAAGGTCAAAAGATCTAAGGTCAAAAGATCTAAAGTCAAAAGATCTAAGGTCAAAAGATCTAAGGTCAAAGATCTCAGGTCAGAAAATCTAAGGTCAAAGATCTAAGGTCAAAAGATCTAAGGTCAAAAGATCTAAGGTCAAAAGATCTAAGGTCAAAAGATCTAAGGTCAAAAGATCTAAGGTCAAAGATCTCAGGTCAGAAAATCTAAGGTCAAAGATCTAAGGTCAAAAGATCAAATGTCAAAAGATCTAAGGTCAAAAGATCTAAGGTCAAAAGATCTAAGGTCAAAGATCTAAGGTCAAAAGATCTAAGGTCAAAAGATCTACGGTCAAGAGATCTAAGGTCAAAAGATCTAAAGTCAAAAGATCTAAGGTCAAAGCTCTAAGGTCAAAAGATCTAAGGTCAAAAGATCTAAGGTCAAAGCTCTAAGGTCAAAAGATCTAAGGTCAAAAGATATAAGGTTAAAGATCTAAGGTCAAATATCTAAGGTCAAAAGATCTAAGGTCAAAAGATCTAAGGTCAAAAGATCTAAGGTCAAAAGATCTAAGGTCAAAAGATCTAAGGTCAAAAGATCTAAGGTCAAAGATCTAAGGTCAAAAGATCTAAGGTCAAAAGATCTAAGGTCAAAAGATCTAAGGTCAAAGATCTAAGGTCAAAAGATCTAAGGTCAAAAGATCAAAGGTCAAAAGATCTAAGGTCAAAGATCTAAGGTCAAAAGATCTCAGGTCAAACGATCTCAGGTCAAACGATCTAAGGTCAAAAGATCTAAGGTCAAAGATTAAAGGTCAAAAGATCTAAAGTCAAAAGATCTCAGGAGATGTTGGCAAAAGTAGGCTTGCTGTTGTTACTTGTGGGCTGGCTGGTGATGTTAGCAAAATTTGGTTGGTTGGTCAGTTGGTTGGTCAGTTGGTTGGTCAGTTGGTTGGTCAGTTGGTTGGTCAGTTGGTTGGTCAGTTGGTTGGTCAGTTGGTTGGTCAGTTGGTTGGTCAGTTGGTTGGTCAGTTGGTTGGTCAGTTGGTTGGTCAGTTGGTTGGTCAGTTGGTTGGTCAGTTGGTTGGTCAGTTTGTTAGTCATTTGATTGGTTGTCGGTTAGCGGGTTAGTTGTCGTTCGAAAAATATAAATTTCAAGTGCCTCCACCCCCCACCCCCCCCCTTTCCCCACAGGACAAAACATCTGAAAGAAAAACATTTTTTTCTACTACGCTCATTCAACTAACTTCCCTATCTTATCTGCCGAAGATATTCATTAACTAACTCACTGCCTCATTTTCCGTAACCTGCTCTCAATTTATTTACGTAATTTTTATCTGTAACTAGATCTAGATTTTAAAAAAAAAAGTTTCGTATCAGAGACTACAATGTTTAAATAAGGAAGTTAATATAATTTTTTTTTTAAAATTCTGTAACGAATTTTAAGGGGCGTAACTTTAGTTTTCTTTTTCTGCCGTATTTTAACAGTTACTTCCCGTTTTTTAAAAATAGTATACCCGTCCCGCGCGTTGCTGTGATCTAGTCCTACACACTAGAGTGAAACAACATTTTTATAAGGGTTTCATTACTACCCATCATGTATTTATAGACGTGCTTTCTTGTTTTCTAAAATCGAGTGATTTAAAGAAGTCGCTGTACGTCTTGAATCTTAGTTGTTGGGGCGTAGGTTTGTTCACACTACCGCCCAGACGCCCCCGAGCGTGCTGTGTAACAGTCTTGCGTGTGCGTTAATCAACCTTTGTACAAATACGGTAGGACACTCCTCGGTGACCGCCCAGGTTTAAGGGCGTCGTTGGGCGCTCTATTGAGCATACTGTTACACTACTGCAGGGGCGCCTGGTCCGACCCCAGGTTCGGTTTAAGGATCGGGTGTTCCAAAGTTAATAATTAAATTCATCAAAATTAAGTCAAATACACAGTATAATATAATTAAAACACACAAATTATGATTGTTACTAAAAATTTCATATTTTTTATTCATTGTTTAATAAAACACATTTGTAATTTAAAAAGAAATACAATTAGTTGACACGAGTGCTTTCACTTGATGAAAATCAGCCTCGCGCTGGTCAAGACGCTAGCACGCCTGTCAGTAATAACGCTCTCGCCCAGCGATCACGTAACAAAACCCAGTGAGAAGAGACAGCCCAGCGCCTCCTAGGTTCATCCAGAAGCACCAGCCGAAGCTCTTATGTGTCCCCACGCCAAGCTCCGAGAACCTGTGACCACAGATACCAAATACAGCAGTGGCGACGCCTAGGTTTAAAACTGAAAGGCATAGAACATTGGGTTTGTATTAGGTGCCGTGTGCAGACTGTATAACACAAAGGGTGTGTAGGTGTTCCTGTAATTATTTTATGAAATGTAAATATCATAAACACCACAATTTTACGTTTTTACTTTCTCGTATATACGAAGTAGGCCTATAGAGAAAGTCTTGTAATCGTGCAAAAAAAAAAATCGAGATTTTTGCAAATCTCGACGTTTTGCATCTCACTTATACGGAAAAACATAATTTTGCAATCTTGTCCGTATGTCTGTGTGTCTGTGTGTGTGTGTGTGTGTGTGTGTGTGTGTCCGTGTGTAAACACGATAACTTGAGTACCGTTACAGCTAGGTTGATGAAATTTCATATATAAGTATTTAATCAAAATCGTAGATCCGTATCATCTTTTGAGCGATTTCCGATAACCGGAAGTGGTACTTTTCCTACTTTGAATTTTTCAAAAGCCTATAACTTGAGTACTATTTCAGATAGATAAATGAAATTTCATACGTAAGTAAAAGATCTAATTCTCTACCTTCTATTAAATTTTGAGTCATTTCCGTTGACTGGAAGTAGTACTTTACGCTACTTCCGATTTCTCAAAAAACTAATGTAAATTTTAAAAGTACTAATAATATTGCGCACTATTATGCGCTTTTTTATTTCGAGTTCACTTGGTGTGCAATTAATTTGTCTACGAGATTTTATTCTATTTTTAAAACTTTAAGTATTTAAAATGGATTAAAAATCATGTCTATAGCCCGAGTTCCCATCCCCTGTTATTTTATATAAGAATATTCGAGAAAGTTTAGGGGAGATCACTCCCGGTTTATTTTTTAATTTACAATGAAATTTTTTTTTTAAATTATATATTGTTATATATTACAGGGGAATCAACTCTTAGAGTGATACACATCTTTCAATGGAATAAACTCAAAATGGGACAAATTTCAGAAAAGTAACTATCAATGCGATACATTGCCTAATTGAGTGTTTTTTATGTTTCAGAGGAATAAACTATCAGAATGATACACATCTTTCAAGGGAATTATTTATATTTGTGACAAGTTTCAGGGTAATAAACTCTAAATATATTTCAGCGGAATAAATTCTCAATGTTTTACTTAGATACCAGGGGAATATCAGTCTTAATGTGATGCAAACATCTCAGGGGAATGAACTCAGTGTTACACTTACGTCAAGAGGAATAACTCTACATGCGTTACACATGTCCCGGCAATAAACTTTATGAAACATACATGTCAGGGGTAGTAACTCTTGTGCTACATACATGTCAGGGGAACTAACGTGTGATACATACATGCCAGGGGAACTAAGTCTTTGATACATACATGTCAGGGGACTTAACTATGTGCTACAATGATTCAAGGTAACTAACTATGTGATACATACATTTCAGGGGAACGAACTGTGTGATACATACACGTTAGGGGTCATAACTCTGTGTGACACGCTCATATTAGGGGAACTAAATATGTGCTATATACATGTCAGGGGAACTAATTATATAATACATACACGACAGGGGAACTAACTCTATAATACATACATGTTAGGGGAACTAATTATATAATACATACATGTCAGGGGAACTAATTATATAATACATACACGACAGGGGAACTAACTCTGTGATACATACATGTCAGGGTAACTAACTCTATGATACATACATGTCAGGGGAACTAACTCCGCAATACCTACATGTCAGAAGAAGCAACCCTCCAATGGCGTGACTTGCGTTACAACTCCTGCACTCGCAGCACAGGTCAACCGTCGCCATGATGAAGGACATCAGTGCCAACCCCACCCCGACGCTGGACAACCCCAAGGTTGCCACAAACCAACCTGAAAGCAGGGATTAGATCACGTGATGCGTGTTACTAAGCTATCCTAGTCCTAAACTTTGCCATTATGCTAAACATAAAATGTTATTATAAGTATACTGAGTATGATACTTTAATTGATAATTTAATAAAAAACCTTACTTAACACTAAATTGATACAAAAGGCAAGCATAAAACGTCACAATCTTTTCAATTCACGACAAAATAAACATACTTTTTTACTTTCTCGTAAAATACAGAGTATAGAGTATAGATGAAGTTTTGCTATCGTGCACAAAAATCGTAAGCGATATATTCACAAATCCCGACGTTTTACACGTCCCTGAGTCGGAAAAACATAGTTTTGCGATTTTGTCCGTATGTCTGTTTGTGTGTATGTGTGTGTGTGTGTGTGTGTGTGTGTGTATGTGTCTGTCAACACGATAACTTGAGTACCGTTACAGCTAGGTTGATGAAATTTAGTATATAAGTATTATATCAAATTTGTAGCCCTGCATCAACTTTTCAGCGATTTCCGATAGCCGGAAGTGGAACTTTTTTTTACTTTTAGTTTTTTTCAAAAGCGTATAACTTGAGTACTGTTTCAGATAAAAAACGAAATTTCACCTTCAAGAAATAATTCTTTGCGTTCTTTCAAATTTTGAGAATTTCCTTTGACCGGAAGTAGTAATTTACGCTATTTCCGATTTCTCAAAATAAAAACGCATATGAATTTATAAAGTACTAATAATATTCCGAACTATCATATAGGTATTGTTAGCCGTTCACTTGGTGCGCAATTCTTTTTTTTCGGAAAGATTCTATTCTATTTTTAAAAGTTTAAGTAATTAAAAATGAATATAAAATCATGTATATATCACGAGTTGCCATCCCCCCTAGTGTTATATAAGAATATTCGAGAAAGTTTAGGGGAGATCACTCCCGTTTTTTTATTTGACTATTTTTAGTTTTCATTCTAAAAGTTCTTCATTTCAGAAGCAGGTGCCACCTTACTAAAAATAGTTTCAGTGACGTCACTTATACCTTCTTCATCTCTTCATCCTATACCTTAGACAAAAAAATATCCTTAACCCTAACCTTCAATCTAACTTAAAACCACAATCTAACTTTAATTCAAATCTAAATAATAATTTTCTAAATTATTTAGTATGTTCTTATTTTTTTAATTCTAATCGAAGTAATTATGTCTGTTTCTTCACTCACCATTATCAATTGTAATTATTTTTTCTTTATTTTTGTATCCATCTTGGAAGACCCAAAAACAACCATGGTCGCCATTGCAAAAGGCCCATAATCCTTGATGATCATTATTTTCATTGACCGCCCAGTAGGGCGATACGAAGGCCACAATCAGTACCAAATTTGTTAGCAGAAGTAAAATCAAGCCACACACTAATGAACAAGACGCCATCTTGGGATAAGTCTGATTTTATTGACACAGTTTTAGAATAAAATTTAAAAACACTTAGAAAAGTTCAATAACTTTCAATTTTTCAACAAATTAACACTTTGTTCACCGACATTCTTTTTGAAAAAATATAGTAAAATTTAAAACTATTGGAAGAAGTTCTAAATTTAAACAAAGTATATCACAATTTCTAAGTTGTTGTTTTTTTTTTTAGAAAAGAAAACGTGTTCACATATCCATAATTTTTTTTTTAGAAATGCCCGGCACTTTTAACGGGATTTGTGCTAGTACATTTGTTTACTTTATACAGAGTTAAATGAAATCACACATAGGTCGGGTTTTACTCCAAATTTTCACAAACCAACTATACGTTGACGCCTACTCTAAAAAATGTCAAAATGGATGTTGGGAGCAGACGTCGAGTTCTGGCTAAACCAGGAAATGAATCGAACAAGTGAGTTGGAATATATCTCACAGATAAGCATGGATCTAGATTGAACAATTAAATACCACTTGAACAAGTGGACTAGGAGTGAGTGGTGTGTCGTGTTGTGTGAGTGAGTGGTGCGTCGTGTAGTTTTGTTTAACTTGATACGTGAGTAGTGTGTCGTGAAGTTGTGTTTAACTTGATACGTGAGTGGTGTGTTATGTATTGGTGTTTAACTTGATGAGTGAATGGTGTGTTGTGTATTGGTGTTTAACTTGATGAGTGAATGGTGTGTTGTGTATTGGTGTTTAACTTGATGAGTGAATGGTGTGTTATGTATTGGTGTTTAACTTGATGAGTGAATGGTGTGTTATGTATTGGTGTTTAACTTGATGAGTGAATGGTGTGATATGTATTGGTGTTTAACTTGATGAGTGAATGGTGTGATATGTATTGGTGTTAAACTTGATGAGTGAATGGTGTGTTGTATATTGCTGTTTAACTTGATGAGTGAATGGTGTGTTATGAATTGGTGTTTAACTTGATGAGTGAATGGTGTGTTGTGTATTTTTGTTTTACTTGATGAGTGAGTAGTGTGACGTGTAGTTTTGTTTAACTTAATGAGTGAATGGTGTGTTGTGTAGTTATGTTAAACTTGAAGCGTGATTGGTGTGTCGTGTATTGGTGTTTAACTTGATGGCACTTGCTTATCTGGGTTTTAGCTGTGTGTGATTTGTTTTTATGGGATAGTGAAATTTGTTTGGAATGGAGATTGTTGTAGTAGATCAATGGAACACAAACATGGGAGATGGGTGGGACGGAAACTTCAAATTTGGGAAATGGACTAGATAGAAGCATCAAGCATGGGAAATGGGTGGGATGGAAGCATCAAGTATGGGAAATGGGTGGGATGGAGGCATTAAGTATGGGAGATGGGTGGGATGGAAGCATCAAGTATGGGAGATGGGTGGGATGGAAGCATCAAGTATGGGAGATGGGCGGTGATACACATGGGGTTTTGAGAGTGGGGTCTAAAAGCAGCAATACGTGTAAGGTCAGAGAGTGGTGATACATGGTGGGATATGTATGTTGCAAAGTTGATACATGTATGATACCTAATTTTCAGTTGTATTTTAGGAATTTATCAAGTATCTCTGTGATTTCTAAAAAAAAAATATTTTTACTTTTTTTTTTCAAGATGGACCACGTCATTTAAAATCGTGCAGATTAATGAATAGATAATTCAATAGCAAAAGGTCAAAGGTCAAGTGGCCGTTATGTTATGTTTTCTTTTCATGGAAATGATGTAGCTAGTTGAGCGAAGAGTTGTGCGCATGTAATTACGCTGGTGTGTAGTGTGTGTTATGTAAGCAGTTTTGACACGTTGCATTATACAGGGTGTGTTTCGTTTTGAACACAGCTACTCGTGTGTTGATGTTGTAGAATAACAAACAAACATGTTTAACATACGGATTGTCAATATTAAACAATACATCACATACACACACATACACACTAAAATACATAAACACAAAAGCACACGCATAAAAGAGTGTACAACAGCACACACAAACTCACACATTCATACAGAGAAATACTCACACGTCTACACACATACAAACACGCACATACACACCTAAATTAACTCAACGCATACAAACACACACAAACACGAATAAACTGAAACACTCAAACAAACTTATACACAACATACACAAACATACATACACACACACAAATAAACACATTAACACTAGGCTTGTGTTTTATGAACTGATCTGAAACTGTTTTTTTTATTTATAAGGCATCTATAGATAGTACTCATAGATAGCACCTACACATTCGCTGTGTTTTCTAATTAAAAGAAACACCGAAAGGGAAATAAATACACAATTAAATGGGAAAATGAACAAACTGAGCAAACAAATTATTTTTTAAGAAATTCAACGCATTAAGAACATATTTTTATTTTATTTTAATACTCAAAATAATCTGGTGTTTCAAATAATACTCAATTGTTTATTTTTAGCAGAAAATTAAAGTATATTTATCTCTATTGTAAAAGTAAAGGCATTAAAACTACAAATTGGTATTATGTAGAAGTACGATCAGTTTGTTAATTACATTTATCATGTAAAACCATATGCCATATTCATTTAAAATTTTGGATCCCCTCAGTCGGGGACAAAAAATAAAATTAGAGCAGGGGTCGGCAACCTTTTGAAGCGAAAGAGCCAAAAGTTACAATTTTCAAAATTCCCCTGGTTTTAAAGAGCCACTAACATTTTTTTTATTTCAAATATTTTATTTTTTTATTAAGATTATTAGTATTCGTTCAAGGAGCTGGAGAGCCGCATCTTGATATCAAAAGAGCCGCATGTGGCTCGCGAGCCGCAGGTTGCCGACCCCTGAATTAGAGTGATACAGCAACACACGGGCATCGGCCACGATGTATCCCTGAGAAACTAGATGCAATGCAATCAATCTTCTAATAAATTCTCTTCTTGGAGAACATAGAAAACACCAAGCTGTAAGCGCGCTCCCTACCACCACCACCCCCACATGACCTGGTGAGCTGTGGTTCACGCTAAATGTTTACAATCGTAGAGCCGGGTTAAGTGACGGCTATTAGGGGCAGATAATTTAGTTTGAAACGATTTTAAACTGACGGGAGGTAACTAAGAGAAGGCTGCTTCCACGGGGGGGGGGGGGGGGGGGGTAGGGGTTGGGGAAAGGAGGGGGGTAGGGGTTGGGGAAAGGAGGTGGGGGGGTTATCGTCCTCAACGAGCTACTGATAGTGTTTTAAAGCAAATATATTCAGTGACAGCACTGGTGCTGTCGAATTCACAAATTATGAATTACTGAAAAGTTAAAAATAAAACAACTAAATAGCGGCGCATGATACGCCGCGGGTCGGCTCGTATGATATATTTTAAGTGGGATGGTGATTAATAAAAATTCTACACATCGGTGCTAATACCAACACGTATTATGCCTAAATGGCTCCATAGATTAATAGACCATGTGTCTGTGCGTGTGTCTGTGTGTGTGTCAATCAATCATCTCTAAAGCCTAGGGTTCCTTCTGGACAAGGCGACTGATTTTCTCATTCCCTCAATCCTTCTCATTTCTATGTTGCTCTAAGTAGTTATGCAAAGGTCAACTTGGTCTTGATGTCAAATACTATGTCAATTTTGTTTGCCCCATCTACTCCCACCTATATATATATATATATATATATATATATATATATATATATATATATATATATATATATATATATATATATATATGCGATAGGAAGAGATGGTATTCGACAAAAACTCTGTATTTAAAACTAGACACAGACACTTAAGTTCGAAAACTACTGACGTGATACCATATTATTATCGGTAACAACGATAATAAACTTAATCAATGGCTAATTAGAGTTAAGCTGTGTTGCCCTGTGTCATAGGGATGCGTGTTTGTACATCACACGTCATTACAAGCCCTCGACCTCACACCTGCACTATGGAACTCAGCAGTTAATTAACTTCAAGAGTAGGCATAATTAATTAAAACAGATGGTCAATTAGGAAGTTATAACACGTGTCTAGGTTGGCTAATTAAAATGTATTAAAATTTATTTGAATAGTATGTATCGGTGTATTGTGAAATTACGGAACGTGATTTGAGTAATGTACCTTATACCAAACGTGATCTGTCTAATGTATCTTGTACTGAACGTGATATAATAAATCTTGTATTGAACGTGATCTGTTTAATGTATCTTGCACTGAACGTGATCTATCTAATGTATCTTGTACTGAACGTGATCTGTCTAATGTACTAAAAGTGATCTGTCTAATGTCTCTTGTACTACTGAACGTGATCTTAATCTTTTTAAAATAGAATAGAATCTCGTAGAAAAAAGGATTGCGCACTAAGCGAACGCCAAACAATCTGTGTAGAATAGTGCGGAATATTATTAGTATTTTATAAATTCACATGCGCTTTTTGAGAAATCGGAAATAGCGTAAATTACTACTTCCGGTAAACGGAAATTACCCAAAATTTGACAGAAGGCATAGAAATAGATATGTTACTTATTTTCGAAAAATCTGATATATCTTGAAAATAAGTCACGTTATAGAGTTTTGAAAAACTAAAAGTAGAGTAAGTTCCACTTCCGGTTACCGGAAATCGCTGAAAAGTTAATACTGAACTACAAATTTTACATAATACTTGTATATGAAATATCATCAACATAGTTGTAACGGTACTCAAGTTATCGTGTTTACACACACACACACATACACACGGACAGAATTGCAAAGCCCAGTTTTTCCGACTCGAGCTGAAATTTTAATATTGTGTTCAGTTAGTGCGCAATTCTTTTTCTACTAGATTCTATTCAATTTTAAAAAGTTTAAATATTTAAAAATGGTTTAAAACTCACGTATATATCCCGAGAAAGTTTAGTGGAGATCTCTCCCGGTTTATTTTTATTTTTTTCTGTAATGGGGTAAAGGGAGGGTTAATATGACTGATTTTTTTTTTCTCTAAAAAAAAAGATACGACTTTGATAAGCAGAGTTACAAATTGGAAAAATGTATCATAACAGTCGGTCGTTTCATAAAGTTTCTTATGCAAACCAAAAAGGTATATTAAACAGATAATAGTGTTGTATTTCAACTAGAATCCAATAATATTTCTAAACATTGAAAAAGTATAAAGTTTCAGACAATATAAGAGCTAAAAATCTTAATAAAAAGTAATATATAGCATTTATAACTTTAAAATTGTTTTTTTTTTCCCAGGCCTTTACAAATTTATTTTTCGTTTCCCTTAGTTCTTTGGAAGAAAATATGGGAAGTAATTGCAAATACCTAAATCATCATTTTTTTACTTTCTCGTATATACAAAGTATAGAGAAAGTTTTGTACTCGTGCAAAAAAAAAAATCGAGATTTTTTTTCAAATCTCGACGTTTTACAGCTCCATGAGTAGGAAAAACATAGTTTTGGAATTTTTAAATTCTATTTTTGTATTTCTTGTTGATTGAATTTTTATTCTGAAGCTATACAGATTTACAATCAATTCATGACGAGTTGATGTTTTCGATTGTTATGTGCGATTGTGTGGATATGGGGTGGGGGTGAGGGGCGGGGGCGGGGCTCCTTTGTAAAACAGGATCCAGGAGATATACATAGGATATTTTTTTAAATGCTATTGTGTAATTAAATTATGATTCAATGTGTGCTTAGGGATTTTGGGCCTTGATTTAGAGCTGAAATTAATTTGGGATTAATGAAAAATAATTTTCTTTTTTTACTTTTCATCAATTTAAGGCTGCATAAGAGATTTTGTCATTATTCGACGGGATTAATGAAATAAGATTTTTTTTTTTTTTTTTTTTTTTTTTTTTTTTTTAATGTTCATAGATATTTATTTTGGCATCCAAATGATTAAAACAAATAGAACACATTGTAATGACTTTGTTCTTATTCAATAAAAATACAAATGTGCTGAACATTCATTTTAAAAATAATAGACTTGCTATTCACCACAAAGAGAGCATAATGACAAAAAAGTTTCTAGAACAAATTAATAAAAAGTATCTGAAACAGATAATGTTTCGCATTTCGATTAAAATTAAATATTATTTTTTTAACTTTTGAAAAGTATACAGTTTCAGACAATTTAAGAGTTATGACAATTAATATAAAAATAATATATGAAAAATCATTATCATTCATGATTTATGACTTTAAAATTGTTTTTTTTTTTCATGCCTATAAAATTTTTATTGTTGTTTCCCTTAGTAATAGAATGATAAAATGGGAAGTAACTGCGAATACCTTACTTGTTTTTTTCAATTAGTTATCTATATATATAATTCTCTTCTTCGAGCCGTTAGAAAACAAGCTGCAAACGCTCTCCCTACCTCCCCACCCCTACATGGTTTTAGTGAGCTGTGTTCACTCTAAATGTTTACAAGCAGAGCCAACGATTTTAAACGTAGGGGGGGGGGGGGGGGGAAGGAGGGGGGAGGGAAGGAAGGGGGGGGGGGTTATGGTCCTTAACGAGCTACTTATAGTGTTTTAAAGAAATATTTTCAGTGTCAGCGTTGGTACTGTCGAAGTCACAAATTATGAATTATTGAAAATTAGAAACAACTAAATAGCGGCGTATGTTATGCCGCGGGCCGGCTCGTTTTTTATAAAACACACACTATCACATCACAAAAATGTTACATCTAATTAATAATAATTATGTTCATGGGGGAGGGGTTGTGATAGCTACACGCTAGATGGGGTGGTTCTGCCTTGATAGTGGGGCGTGGGTGGTACTGACTAGACAGGGGTGGTACTGGCTAGATGGGGATGGTACTGACTAGATGGGGATGGTACTGACTAGATGGGGGTGGTACTGACTAGATGGGGGTGGTACTGACTAGATGGGGGTGGTACTGACTAGATGGAGGTGGTACTGGCTAGATGGGGGGTGGTACTGACTAGATGGGTGGTACTGACTAGATGGGGGTGGTACTGACTAGAAGGGGGTGGTACTGACTAGATGGGGGTGGTACTGACTAGATAGGGGTGGTACTGACTAGATGGGGGTGTGGATGGTACTTACTAGATGGGGGTGGTACTGACTACATGGGGGTGGTACTGACTAGATAGGGGTGGTACTGACTAGATGGGGGTGTGGATGGTACTTACTAGATGGGGGTGGTACTGACTAGATGGGGGTGGTACTGATTAGATAGGGGTGGTACTGACTAGATGGGGGTGTGGATGGTATTGACTAGATGGGGGTGGTACTTACTAGATGGGGGTGGTACTGACTAGATGGGGGTGTGGATGGTACTGACTAGATGGGGGTGGTACTGACTAGATGGGGGTGGTACTGACTAGATGGGGGTGTGGATGGTACTGACTAGATGGGGGTGTGGATGGTATTGACTAGATGGGGGTGGTACTTACTAGATGGGGGTGGTACTGACTAGATGGGGGTGTGGATGGTACTGACTAGATGGGGGTGGTACTGACTAGATGGGGGTGGTACTGACTAGATGGGGGTGTGTATGGTACTGACTAGATGGGGGTGGTACTGACTAGATGGGGGTGGTACTGACTAGATGGGGGTGGTACTGACTAGATGGGGGTGTGGATGGTACTGACTAGATGGGGGTGTGGATGGTATTGACTAGATGGGGGTGGTACTTACTAGATGGGGGTGGTACTGACTAGATGGGGGTGTGGATGGTACTGACTAGATGGGGGTGGTACTGACTAGATGGGGGTGGTACTGACTAGATGGGGGTGGTACTGACTAGAGGGGGGTGTGGATGGTACTGACTAGATGGGGGTGTGGATGGTATTGACTAGATGGGGGTGGTACTGACTAGATGGGGGTGGTACTGACTAGAGGGGGGTGTGGATGGTACTGACTAGATGGGGGTGTGGATGGTATTGACTAGTTGGGGGTGGTACTGACTAGATGGGGGTGGTACTGACTAGATGGGGGTGGTACTGACTAGATGGGGGTGGTACTGACTAGATGGGGGTGGTACTGACTAGATGGGGGTGGTACTGACTAGATGGGGGTGGTACTGACTCTGTGGGGGTGGTACTGACTAGATGGGGGTGGTACTGACTATGTGGGGGTGTGGATGGTATTGACTAGTTGGGGGTGGTACTGACCAGATGGGGGTGGTACTGACTAGATGGGGGTGGTACTGTATAGATGGGGGTGGTACTGACTAGATGGGGGTGGTACTGACTAGATGGGGGTGGTACTGACTAGATGAGGGTGGTACTGACTAGATGGGGGTGGTACTAACTAGATGGGGGTGGTACTGACTAGATGGGGGTGGTACTGACTAGATGGGGGTGGTACTGCTGAGATGGGGATGGTTCTATCTAGATGGGGGTGGTACTGACTATGAGGGGGTGTGGGTGGTACTGACTGTATAGGAGTGTGTTACACTCAGTTTTCTTATTATTTTTTGGCTCGTTTGGTACCAGGTGTAACACTAATAAAGAACACAATCCACAAATTGAATTTGCGATAGTGAAGTATAATTTGCATCAACTACAAGAAGAAACATTAACACAAGAAAAAACTGACGACTAGATACACTGTGTTGACACAACACCACCCTGCTTACATACTCTGGCGTTCACACATTTGTTTTCCACGGTCGCACACCAAATTCAATGAGAGGCCACTCTCACACACAATCTCTCATTTCGTTATGGCCGACTCGATCATGCTTCCATCACAACTAAGGATTACGTGTCAACTGGTTATGCGCCATTGAGGCCAATGACTCCGATTTCAGCCAGCTTTTCTTTTGGGATTTGCTTCCATAGCCTTTGTCCAACCAAGAACAAACTACAAGGCAGCAGTTGTTTGATTTTGGAGTTGTCTCTCCTAGAAGAGTGGCTGTCCCCAGCTAACGAGCCTCATCTGCCTGAGATGCCGATTGTTCTTTTCTCTAAGTGTTTTATGTTTAGACTCATTTAGTAAAACAGAATTCTCTTTCTCTTAAGCTTTTATTTTAATTTGTATTTCTAGAGCCAAACTTGAAACAGGTAAGTTGCAATTCTTCATTAAATGTACTAGAATTGTATTTACCTGCTAACAACAACAACAACAAAAAAAACGACAACAAGAAATGTAAACTTTGTATCATAAAATTTTATTTACTGGCAATACGAGCCGGTCCACACAAGACAACACATTATTATCCGTATAATTTTTACACCCTCCCCCCCCCCCCCCTAAAAAAATGTCTATTCCTTCGCTTTTGACTAGAACTCATCTACACACTAATAACGTTAAAACAAACCGTAATCCTAGCAAACATTCACTTGCTTTTCGTCATTTTAAAAAAAAAGTTAATGAAAAATATTTATTGAGTGACGTCATTTATGGACCGCCCTGGTTACCTGAAAGATGCGCCATGGAAAACTTTAAGAATCCGTCATTTATAGAAATTAAGGAAGAGTGACTACAGGTACACTTTAGCATAATGAAACTTATTTCCACAAAAGATGACAAAATTAAAGTGTATTAGTATGATTAGTTTGTGTTTCCGCATTTTCCTGTTTGCATAGTTTTCCATTGCGCATTTTTCCGATTGCGCATTTTTCCGATTGCGCATTTTTTCACCGAACCGACCGGTCCTACAAGACAATTGTTATGATTGAGCTCCAGGTATTTCCTTCACTCTGTCTTCTCTCTCATTCCATCAACACTGCTCGCTCTTACACCCCCACGCTCCAGATCAACTCTACTACCCCTGCACGGAAGTGAATAATTTAAAAACAAGTTAAACAACATCTCGACAGCCTTGACCCAGATAGCCACCGCCCGTCATCAGAGCTAGAACGGCTGACGTCACGTTGACCCAGAAGAAAGGTGTTCTGGGATCGTAGAGTAGCTGGTTGAGAAACTCTACGGAGCAGACGTGAATGATAGCAGCGGCGACCCCAATGTTGACAGCTGGAAACAAAATGTATTTTTGTTTTGTTACTATTTATAGAATCCAAAACACGTTTTAAATAATTAATAACTGGATTCATTATTTAAATTCAAACTACACAAAAATTGTGTTTCAGACCCAGCGTAACTTATGGTATAGGTGTGCCCTAACTTTATTTACACTCATACATATATACATACATAGATTTTTATAAGGGGTTCAAGCCATGGTCGGATTGTAAAGCGCACGACTGCTAACCCGGAAGTCTCGAGTTCGGATCTCGGCTAAATCTGTACGAGTACACTTAACTCTGTTAAAACATGATTCTAATTAGAGAAAGTAAAGGCGTCTGGGCAAAGTACTGACAACACCTTCTCTTCACATGCCGAGGTCAAGAAACGCTTGAACTTTACTTAACTCTACTATGGTCAGAAAAGGGATTTTTATCCTGTTTCTAGTAGTAGAAATTTTTAAAAGCGTGGGACTTATTAATGTGTGTTCGGAATGGAATATTTTCTAATGGAGGTAACCTTTTCACTTCTGAAGGGGTTATAAGCACCTATGACAGGAAGGTTTATTTAAAGCTAGAACCGACCTGCCATAATCATTAACCCTCCAACGACATAGCTACAGCCCCAGTCCTTGAAGCTACACAAGTCGACCGTGGAGAGGGTTAATGAAATTAAGATTATCCCCAATGCAATTAGTTCCAAGCCTTGACTAGCAATAAACCACCCTAAGAAAGAGAGTTTTTTTTTTTTTAATTTGTAATCTAAGGGAAATAACAAGAAAAATAAACATGCAAAATGTTAATACAGTTGTCTACCTTGTTTTTTTTTAAATTATATTTTTTAGTTTAATACTTTAATACTTTATTTATATATACTTTAATATATATATTAAGCAGTGGCGTAGCGAGGTCGGGTGTGACCCGGTGCGGCACTTAATGGTGTCACCCCCCAGAGGCGTAGCGACCCTTCCCGTGGACAAGCTTTCAAGTTTTCGATTTGCACAGCCCCCCTCAAACTTTCAATTTACAACCCCCCCCCCCCCTCAAGTTTTCGATTTGCAACCCCCCCCCCCCTTCTCAAACTTTCGATTTGCACCCCCCTCTCAAGTTTCTCTCTAATTATTTTGCTATTTTTTGCCTTGGTGTCACCCCCCTAAATGGTGTCACCCGGTGCGGTCCGCACCCCCCCCCCCTCGCTACGCCCCTGATATAAGTATACTATATACTTTAATACTTTTCTGTTTATCATTGAATATGCAAAATATATCAAACTTTTAAAGAAACTCAGTTGTGCCCGTGACAGAGGTCAATTTATAATTGGTAACTGCCATCGTTATTGCCTTACAGTCATCGATATTAACGTTATCGATTATTGTTCGTGTAAACACAGTTTCTATACTTCTTGCTCAACTGATCTCAGTACATTCCGATGTAGGTAAAGTCATTGGTTTCTCGATTATTTTGTTCTTCAAAAAGGTTGTGTGATGTCGTGTTTAGCGATGTCAACTGCTCCATGTCAAAACATGAGATGCCAACTGTCTTGTGCCACGTCAATTGTGTTATGTCAATTGTGTCAGTTGTCGTCTGTTAGAGAAGAATACGTTACCTTCACTGACAACATTGAGGTCATCTTGACAGCCGTCAGTAAAAGGCCAGCACACCTCGTTTCCGAATACTAAAAATAGCGCTGGCCCAGTGACCCAGATAGGACTGACCAATGAGTAAACGTGTAAGGCTAGGGTCGCCAAAACAAACGAATAGCATATTTTTAAACAACGTGAAGCCATGGCGGGTAACTCTTCCAGCCTTAGCCTACAAAACAATTTATTGAATTATCCTCCTTTTATGTTTATCAACAAACTATAACCTTGCGTTATGAAAGTAAATGTGTCTTAGCTTTTAATTAATTTATGTTGTTAATAACTTGAAAAAGTTGAGTTTTTAGTTTAAACATTAAACAAATTTTACACAGTAAAAGTAAATTTTGAACACAATTCCTTCAGCGGAACAGTCTTAATAATATTACTGCTGGGGAAAAAAATCCTTTTCCTAATAAATGCGTTTGAAAATTGAATAATTTTACCAAGAAACTCCACGTTACAAATGACAACAAAATTTACAATATAAACATCGTGTATTTAAATAACAAAACCTAATACGAATTCTACAAATTAAACTATAAAATTTTTCTAAAACTATAAAAACACAATATTTGCTGAAATTAACTGTGGTTCTAATTAAGAGCGAAAACGTGTAACAATCTGACAGATTCCACATGTTTTAGATGCAGTTAATTATCCCCACACAAGGAAATGAATTCCCGAGTACCTTAAAGTGAGTTGCTAGATCAATATGGTGTAGATACTAATTGTGATTAAATAAATTGTGAGTGTCGACAGTAACTGTTATAGCTGTAAAGGAGGGGCTTTGGGAGGGTGGGGTGTGTGGTACTGGCTAGTTCGTTTAGTGCGGGTGGTACTGGTTACATGGGGGTGGTGGTACTGGTTAGATGATGTGGGTGTGTGTGGTACTGGTTAGATGGTGGGGTATGTCGGGTACTTCTTAGATGTGGTGGTGTGGGTGATATTGGTTAGATATTGGGTTGTGTGGTACTGGTTAGATGGTGGGGTGTGTGTGGTACTGGTTAGATGGTTGGGTGTGTGTGGTACTGGTTAGATGGTGGGGTGTGTGTGGTACTGGTTTGATGGTGGGGTGTGGGTGGTACTGGTTAGATGGTGGGGTGTGTGTGGTACTGGTTTGATGGTGGGGTGTGGGTGGTACTGGTTAGATGGTGTGGTGTGTGTGGTACTGGTTAGATGGTGGTGTGTGTGGTACTGGTTAGATGAGATGGTGTGGGTAGTACTGGTTAGATGGTGTGGTGTGTGTGGTACTGGTTAGATGGTGGTGTGTGTGGTACTGGTTAGATGAGATGGTGTGGGTGGTACTGGTTAGATGGTGGGGGGTGTGTGGTACTGGTTAGATGGTGGGGTGTGGGTGGTACTTGTTAGATGGGGTGGTGTGGGTGGTACTGGTTAGATGGTGGGGTGTGGGTGATACTGGTTAGATGGTGGGGTTCTGGGTGGTACTGGTTGGATGGTGGGGTGTGGGTGATACTGGTTAGATGGTGGGGTTCTGGGTGGTACTGGTTGGATAGTGGGGTGTGGGTGGTACTAGTTAGATGGGGTAGTGTGTGTGGTACTGGTTAGATGGGGGGGTAATGCTGTGTGGGTGTGGTTGAATCTAGTTTGGTTGAGGGGGGTGGGAGCCAAACTTTTACCTAAATAGCTACTCACTCAGACCCGACAAACGCCCGATGGGGTGGTAGTATGTTTTCCCGATGATGTAGTAATTAGAGGTTGGATAAACTAAGGAATGTGTTCTAGCACTCTTTTCTATGACTAGCTCAAATTCCTCACCCTCACTTTTTATTATTTTGGGAAATCTCAGCAACATAAGTTATGTAAATATTACGTGTGCGTATGTGTATATATATATATATATATATATATATATATATATATATATATATATATATATACATATATATATATATATATATATATATATATATATATATATATATATATATATATATATATATATATATATATATAAATGTTTATGTATATAAGTATATATATCCTGTTAGCTCACTCGATTAGTTACATGATGTTTCTCAAGAGGCCACTCAACCCACTAGTCTTGTATGAGTTCTATTTTTCCTGTTGTTAAAAAAAAAAACTTGAAGTACGTGTCGGGTTAACCAGCACGATCAGGCCACACGACCCCTCGCCAGTCTCCACACAATCCCCCCCCCCCCCACACACACACACACATACACACCGCCGCCCACACACTGAGGGTGATCAATTGTTTAGTCAGCCAATACACAGCTCTCAGCCGCGGCTTTGTGGCTGTGGTTTAAAACCTGATAGGTGATGGGGGATTGAGGTTAAATGTGACGGCGATAGGTGCATCTTTTTATTGTATTACAAGCAAGTTGACCTATAGAATCATTATCTGAGACATGTCATTGAATACCTGAGACTTATGCCGTTGATTACTGGAGACATATGCCCCTAAAACCTGGAGCATATCCCCCTAATATCCAAAGCATGTACCATTGATTACTCGAGGCATATGCCCCGAATATTTGATGAATATACCCTTAATACCCGAAGCATATGTGGGGCGGAGAGGTCTAGCGATAGAGAGCTGGCCTGCTAACCCGTAAGTCTCGAGTTCGAATCCGGGTTCTCAGTAGACCGTCCTTGAGCACACCCAACTCTGATGGGTACCTAACTCACGTTAGGGAGAGTAAAGGCGGCTGGGCATAGTGCTGACTACACTATATCTTTATATGCCGAGGGCACAGAAACAAGTGAGTGATCTATACTTCACTTGCACCATAGACCGTCAGGTTTGAAAGGGAAACTTTTACCTGAAGCATATAGCATGATTACTTGAGACATATACCCCTAATACCCGAAGTATATTCCCCTGGTTGGTTGAGGCATATGCCCCTGGCTGGTTGAGGCATATGCCCCTGGCTGGTTGAGGCATATGCCCCTGGCTGGTTGAGGCATATGCCCCTGAATACCTCAGCCGTTAGAGCACGCAGAAGAACTACTCACCTTGAACCACACCCACCAAATGAAGCGTGAACTCACGACAGTTGACACACAAAGGACAATACACATTTAAAAATAAAAAACACCAAAAAATAGCAGATGTACTGTAATATATTTCACGTAAAGCATGCAGATCACTACTCAACATGGTGGCGTATGGTGCAGAGAACACAAGATTTTTGTCTAGATGTGTTGTTACACAGTCAGGAACCACACACCCGGCTAATGCTGTAAAGCTTACCATTGTCTAAATGTGTCGTTACACAGTCAGGAACTACACACCCAGCTATTACTGTAAACCTTCCCATTGTTGTCACACAGTCAGAAACTACACACCAAGTTAATACTGTAAACCTTCCCATTGTCTAGATGTCTCGTTAATGCTGTAATTTTGTATATGCATATTTCATCTAACTGTTGTTTCAGTCAAAACTACACACCAAAACTGTAAACCCTTTCATTGTTTACACGTCATTAATTACGTCACATGTTTAAAAAAAATATGGGTATATTTTTAAAAGCAGTCAAATTTTGAAAATTAACTGCTAAGACTGTTTTCTCCAAAGAATGATATCTAAGGATCAGCTCTCCAAGGAAAGATAACTAGGAATAGCTCTCCAAAGAAGGATAACCAGGTCTACTTAGTGAACTATTCAAACATATTAGCGGTGCTTGGTAATATAGCTGTGCTTTCTCAACATACTCAAATATTATTTTTTAACTTCAAGAAAAAATATTTTTTTTTTAAATTGGTATAAAAATGAATTGTGTATGGAGCAAGCGTCACTCTAGATTAAAAACTAAAATGTCAAATGGAACATATTAGCATTCAAAGATATACTACATTATGGAAAAAAAAATGATTGAAAATGAGAAATATATTTTTAAATATATTAAATTAATGATATTAATTGAAATTTAAGGTTTTGAGGTTAGGTCTTGGTGATTATAATGCATGCGTCACTACAAATTATGTGCACAAAAATATGTGCAGTACATAAAATTAATTTACTACAAGGCTTATACAATTCTATAACCATTTTTTTTTTAAATAATTTAGTGTTTTTTTTTAGAAGTTTACAGTAATAAATATGTAACGTAATCATAAAATATTTTTTTATTAATTGCTAATAATGTTCAAACAATCGGTCAAACTGCTTTAGTAAGATTTTCTTTATTGCGTACCAATAGTTCTGTTAAGAGATTGATCTTAGATCTTTTTCCCGACAATTCGCGAAAACTGAAATAAATATATTTAGAGGTCATTGAGAATTGGAAAAAAAAATTGAAATCTCGTAACAAACCAAACCTCAGCTGGATAGAACGAGATCTTCTTTAACGGATTTATTTAATTATAGTGATTTCAAATATTAAATGTATAGTTAAATCTACACATTATTTTCACAATTTTATGTAAAATGCAAGAGTTTTGCACAACCAAAAAGAGACTGATTCATATTTCCAAAAATACATTTTTTTTTAAATGTTACATAACTTTGCTCAAAGTAAACAACAGAGTTACTCTTCTTTGCACAACAAATATAATAAACTTAGTTGAAAAAGTAAAAAAACAATACTCTAAACGACGCCAAAAATCAATAGAAAAAACGATATATCTCTCTTCTTAAAACAATTCAAATAAAATGTAAACAAAATGTTAAAAGATGTAAAATCAAACTAACTGCACATTACACCACCACTGTTTTTACTCTATAAGTAGGCAATTTTTTTACAGAACTTTAAGAAGGTAAACAATTTTAGAAAGTCAAAAATACATAAATTTCACTCAGTTTTACAGTAACATTTAGCAAAGTTTGATTTGCAACCAGAATATCATTCACAACGATCTGTCAATGTTACAAGCATTTGAAAATATACGCGCTCTTAGCTTCTAGCATAGTTGAAACGCACCAATGAAAATTGTTGGATACTTTGTTTAATAACCACCTGTTGTCTAGTCTATTATTAACCTAACCCCCAAAAAATGTATCACTTGTAGTGTAGACTAATAGCCTAACCCTCGGAAATTGTAACACCTGCAGTCTAGACTAATAGCCTAACTCCGGAAATTGTAAACATGCGGTCTAGACTAATAGTCTAACCCCCTGAAAATGTAACACCTGCAGTCTAGACTAATAGTCTAACCCCCTGAAAATGTAACACCTGCAGTCTAGACTAATAGCCTAACCCCCTGAAAATGTAACACCTGCAGTCTAGACTAATAGCCTAACCCCCTGAAAATGTAACACCTGCAGTCTAGACTTATAACCTAACCCCCGTAATAATAAACACCTGTTGTCTAGACGAATGAACTAAAACTTCACATAATTTATCAGACACATTCAATATACATAAAACTGAAGATCCTAACATTACACACACACACACACACACATTCAACACTTGCCGTTTAAACCAATCACAAATTATACACACACCGACACACACATGCAACCCATGTCTTTAAGAACAATCCCAAATTTACATACACACACCAACACACATACACTCTCTGCACAATCACATCGTGGAGAAAAAAACCATATATATCAAGCACACACTAACACACATACACTTCATGGTGAACAATACTCACACAAACACACACAGTCAATACACATCCATCTGAAAGGCTCACACACAACACACATATCCACACTCACTCACCATGTATGTTTATGTCTTAGCGTCTAACCAACAAACTTATATGTACAAAGGGCAGAGAACCAATTGAAAGGGGAGAGAAGTAACAAAAAAATTATCTACAGACTGCATCAAAATAAGGGGCTTGAATCAACATAAACATAAAAATATATTGTAACAGTTTAAACATAAACATCTTACTTTGTAGCACATTTGAACAATTGTAGTACTTTGATGAATTTCTTCACCATTTAGCAAGAAAAAAAATAAAACAATATAGGCATGAATTTGAAATGTAAGTATCTAATCTTGGAGCTATAAAAAGATTCACTGCGTATAGGTATTTATATATATATATATATTATTTTTTAAATGAATTTTAAAACACGTGGTTTAGAAATAATGGACTGGATTAGTCTGTGTATTTTGTTTTTAAATGTATTTTGTTTTTAAATCCAGAAATATATATAAGAGGCAAATCAACACAAAATGTTATAGAATATCAATATCCCTTTTGAAAAGTAATCTATCTAATTTTTATAATAAAGTTTTATATATATATATATATATATATATATATATATATATATATATATATATATATATATATATATATATATATATATATATATATAATAGTTGTTTGTAGATGATTTAAGATAGTGTGATGCTCATGTGAGAAGATCCCTTAAGCTGACTTCCCGCGGCCTACAAGGCAGTAGATGAGTGACGTCAGAAGGGCCAGCCCCGCCGCCGCCACGTCCAACCAGAAAGACCAGCCGAAGCGGACGCCGCTGCTGATGGTGTAGTGGATGCCGGCGTTGTCGTACTTGTTGGAGCAGACGCCGAACACGACCGCCGCCACGGACAGGCATAGAACTGTGGAAGGTCAAGGTCATTTTAGCGGAGGAAGATCAAGGTCATTGTTTGTCGATATTTCCCAAGTTTATAAAAGAAATGTCATTTATTCTTTTATTTTTTTATTTTATTAATTTTTTGGAGGGGGGGGGGTAACTTAATATTTTAGTTGAATAAGTGAAAAAGGTAATGGTCATTCATAGTAAAAGATCTGAATTACAAAGGTATAAAAATAGCAAGTTTTTTTGTTGTTTTTTTACTTTCTCGTATATACGAAGTATAGAGAAAGTCTTGTAATCGTGCAAAAAAAAATCGAGATTTTTACAAATCTCGACGTTTTACACCTCACTGATACGGAAAAACATAATTTTGCAATCTTGTCCATATGTCTGTGTGTCTGTCTGTCTGTCTGTCTGTCTGTCCGTGTGTAAACACGATAACTTGAGTACCGTTACAGCTAGGTTGATGAAATGTCATATATAAGTATTTTATCAAAATCGTAGATCCGTATCAACTTTTGAGCGATTTCCGATAACCGGAGGTGGTACTTTTCCTACTTTTAATTTTTCAAAAGCCTATAACTTGAGTACTATTTCAGATAGATAAATGAAATTTCACATGTAAGTAAAAGATCTAATTCTCTACCTTCTGTTAAATTTTGAGTAATTTCCGTTGACCGGAAGTAGTAATTTACGCTACTTCCGATTTCTCAAAAAACTAATGCAAATTTTAAAAGTACTAATAATATTGCGCACTATTATGCGCTTTTTGATTTGGCGTTCACTTGGTGTGCAATTAATTTGTCTACGAGATTTTATTCTATTTTTAAAACTTTAATTATTTAAAATGGATTAAAAATCATGTCTATATCCCGAGTTGCCATCCCTTGTTATTTTATATAAGAATATTCGAGAAAGTTTAGGGGAGATCACTCCCGGTTTATCAATTAATTAAATAATTTATTTATTTACAAAACGACAAAGATGCGAAACGGTGTATCAACTTGTGGCAACAATTGTCGATGTTCATAGAAAGTAAAGAACATATTTATGATGACTACTTGTAGCAAATATAATGATGTTTACATCATGTGGCAAATATAATGATGTTCACATCATGTGGCAAATATAATGATGTTCACATCATGTGGCAAATATATTGATGTTCACATCATGTGGCAAATATAATGATGTTCACATCATGTGGCAAATATAATGATGTTAACATCATGTGGCAAATATAATGATGTTCACAAATAGTAAGACAAATCTTACTGATAATGAAGAGCAGAACGTCACAAATTGACAAAACTTACAGGTAGGACGTCACAAATTGACAAGACCTACAGGCAGGACGTCACAAATTGACAAGACTTACAGGCCATAAAGAGCAGGACGTCTCAAATTGACAAAACTTACACACAGGACGTCTCAAATTGACAAAACTTACACACATGACGTCTCAAATTGACAAAACTTACAGGCCATGAAGAGCAGGACGCCGATGACGACACTTGGGTTACACCTGCGACACTCACAGCACAACGCGATGGTGGCCAGTAGCAAGGAGAAGAGGGCGAAGATCAGGCCCAGTGACGTCAGAGCTATGGTGGCGATCCACCATTCTGAGGAGGGAGGGGGGAATTTTAAAAAGTTAGTTGGTGATTGAATAAAAAAAAAAATTTGCTTTTTTTTTTATTTATTATCCATGCCGTTTAAAGGACAGAATGGATTATCCAAGTCAGTTGCTGAATAGAATAGAATCTAAGAAGTAGCTTAAGGAACTTAATCGATTAGCAAAGTAGTTTAAAGAACATAATCGATTATCGCTTAACTTGGACTCTAGTACCACTAGCATTTGCTATCGTGGTTTCACATGAAAATAACGACGACGAAATTCACGAGCTTAAACAATTTAACCCAAAATGTTAACATTCGTCTTGAATTCATTACATGGCCTTTCGTGAAGGTCCAGTTTCTTCTTAGTAAAAACAGATGCGATGTTCATGTCTAACACATTTCAAAAACAGTAATATATATATATATATATATATATATATATATATATATATATATATATATATATATATATATATATATAGCAAGAGCAAAAAAAATACGAAATTTATAAAATAGTATTCAAAATAATAAAGAGAAATATAAAAACTCGATAAAATAATAACAGACGCTAGGGAAATAGTATAAAAACAAAACATCGATAGTAGCGTACAAAAACGAGAGATTAGGGATCCTGCAAAGTTATTTTTATAAAAAAAAATGATATTTTCACCTAACCTTTTGCACAATATAATTTTTATAGAAAATATTTTTGAACTAATAATTTAAAACAATCTTTAATTGCATATGTTTAGTACAACAAATGTTAAGTCCCGTTCAGTGTTTCTTCCAGACTTTTTTCTCCGGGGATGCACTTGAAATTTTCTGGGGGTGGGGGGGGGGGGGAAGGGGGGGGGGGCGGACAACAATTTTGGGGGGGGGGGGGCGGACACTGTCAAAAGTAAATATTGTCTATGTAAATTCCATTTCGTTTGGGGGAGGCGGTAGACTTTCCCCGGGGGGGGGGGCGAATAGATGCCTGGAAGAAACTCTGGTCCCGTTTGAGTCCTAGCTGTATTGGAGAGTGGACTTATTCCTTCAACTTCTTAAAATAGCAGAAATTTGATTTAAGTTAAATAAAGGCAAAATAAAGGCAGCGTTAAATTCCAGCTTCTTACCTGCTGTTACACAACTATATATCACTTGCACAAACCCTAACAAGAAATTATCAAATAAAAAAGGAAAATGATAAAGGTAAAAAAGAAGAAAAAAGCAGATTTAAGCTGAACAATAATTTTAGAGAGAAAGAAAAAAACGAAAAGGGAAAAATTAAATGTAAAAAAACTATGGTTTTAGAGAGAAACAAAAAATGAAAAGGAAAAAAATAATAGATCACAAGGGAAGTAGTAGATAAAAAGTGTAATAGTAGATGCAAGTGAAATAATAAATGTACAGGGAATTATCAATGCAAGGGAAATAATACAAATAATGGAATACAATAGAACTTAAGAAATAAAGGTAAACAATAGACGAAAAAATAGATTACAAGAGAAAAAGTAGATGAAAAGACAAACAATAGATTAAAATAGATAACATTTGAAAAAAAAAGGAAACAAATAAATGAAAATGGAAATAATAAATTAATGGGGATTATCAGTTAAAAAGGAATAAAAAAATGTAAAAGAAAACTACAGATGTAAAGAAAAGCTAACTAAAAATAAAAAATAAAAAAAACACGAAAAAAATTAATGACAGGGGAAACAACCAATGCAAAGGGAAACAACCGTTGAAAAGGGAAACAACCTATGAAAAGGGAAGTAACTCACCTGATTCGACATTGGAGTTTGTCATGATCTTGTAGTTCTCCTGGAAGAGCCAGGTGCAGGAGTCCGAGCGGCAACGGGCCCACAGGCCGTGGTTCCAGCCCATCCTGTGCTCCAGCCAGTAGGGCGTGGCGTAGGTGATGATGATGGCCAGGTTGGTTAGCACCAGAAACACCAGGCCGATGACGGAGCAGTACGTTGTCATGGTTACCAGATGTTATTTAGAGAGGGTACGTAATCCGGATAGAAGGATGCAACGATGACGTACGGAGATGTTTCGTGACGTCAGACACTTTGGAACGTTTGTCTCTTTTGAAAAATTGCGGTTCAAATTGTTTTAGTATCCTTTTTTAAGAATTAAAAAAAACAATCATATAACGACTATGGTTTCTTTTTAAATTGATTTTCTTAACAGAAATTAAAAAAATACTCATTAAAAGATTTTTTAAAAATTAAACACTTCATTAAACACGTGAAAATACACTTTTCTAAAAAAAATATCGTCCTTTGTTGTTGTTTTTTTTTATCTCGTAGAAATAAACTTTCAAGCAAATATTCCAACTTTTTACAAATTTAGAAATTCACTCGTGATCTGAAAAAAAGCGAAGAAAATAGAAATAAACAGACAATACAATTGTAACTTAGCCACAACAAAATGGAAAAGACATCATTAAATGGCCACTATTCGTCAGGGGACCCAACTGTCTCAGGTGATTGTTAGGACGTGCACAAGGGGAAGTAAAAAGGATTAGCCACGCTACTGAAAAGAAAACACCATAACCTGTGGTGTATATTTCAAGCTTGTTGTAATTTACATTGACCTCTACTAGATTAAAATGTTCATTGATCATTTATTTCAATAGAATGTACGTTTTTCTTAAGGTCTATTTTTAAACATAGTAAGAGGAAGTGCATTTCACTATAAAAATATGTTGAATATTTTCCATTAAATTCCAGTATGCATTAATTTCTTATATTTCATATTCACTTATTTAAGCTGTTTCAATTTGATTCTGACATTTAATTATTATTTAAAATTGTATCTTCATGTCTTGAAACTGTAAAAACTACAAAAAAATTAGTATTACTAAAAAAATGATGAGATGCGTTTTCAATCTGTTCATTGTAGATTGAATGAGTTGCTGGAGGGAAAAAAATGGGGTTTGTGGGCGTTTGATAATTGTTTAAGTTCACTTTTAGAAACTTGGCGGTCAGTGGGGCAAGTGAAGTAGAGTACACCTGTTTCTATGAACTCGGTTTAAGAAAAGACATGTAGTCAGCACTTTACTCAACCGCTTTTACGTTTCCTAACGTGAGTTAAGTACTCATCACAACTGGGTAGACTCGGGGACGTTCTAGTGACCTGAACCCGGATTCGAACTCGAGACTTTCGGGTTAGAAGTTTAAAATATATATATATATATATATATATATATATATATATATATTTAGAGAGAGAGAGATTGGAGGGAGAGAAGAACACTGATTGTTAGATCTCCCCCCCCCCCCCCCCACCATGTCTAAGCGCCCAACAGACCGCCGAATTTCTCATTGTAACAATACATTCATGTGTATCCTGTCAACTCTAGAACTATTTTATTCTATGTGAACTTGTAACCTCTGTTGTTATATTTTTCTTTATAACTTCATAAACAGTTAATAGTTGTATTATTAAAAAAAATTAAAACACCGATGTTTCCAACTATCTTGACGTTGAGTATTGCGTCAATGGCACAAATTATGTTTGACATTTCAGAGTTGTTTGCTCTTTGATTTTAAAACCAGTCGAGTGGTTGTTGAGGGGGAGGAAAGTGGTGGGACTAAACTAAATTTGTTTACGGGGCTCGTTCCAGCAGGTCACGGTGACATGAGATGAACATACCGGAGGAGGAGGGGAGGGTGGTGAAAGCGAAATAAATTTTCTAGACATAGTGTGCAGAGAATTGGTGAGTCAAAGAGTTCGAAGTCGGACGAATAGAAATGTGGAGTCACATAGCTCGGAGACAGATGCAGGGGAGTGTAGAAATATGGAGTCACAAAAGGTGGAGAAAGATTGAAATGTGGATGTGGAGTCACAAAACGTGAAGAAAAATAGTCAATTGGAGCCACAAAAGGTGGAGAAAGATGGAAAATTGGTGTCACAAAATGTGAAGAAATATAGAAATGTGGAGTCACAAAATGCGAAGGAATATAGAAATGTGGAGTCACAAAATGCGAAGAAATATAGAAATAAGGAGTCACAAAACGTGAAGAAAGATGAAAAATTGGAGTCACAAAATGTGAAGAAAGATGGAAAATTGGAGTCACAAAATGTGAAGAAAGATGGAAAATTGGAGTCACAAAATGTGAAGAAAGATGGAAAATTGGAGTCACAAAATGTGAAGAAAGATGGAAAATTGGAGTCACAAAATGTGAAGAAAGATGGAAAATTGGAGTCACAAAATGTGAAGAAATATAGAAATGTGGAGTCACAAAACGTGAAGAAAGATGGAAAATTGGAGTCACAAAATATGAAGAAATATAGAAATGTGGAGTCACAAAATGCGAAGAAATATAGAAATGTGGAGTCACAAAACGTGAAGAAAGATGAAAAATTGGAGACACAAAATGTGAAGAAATATAGAATTGTGGAGTCACAAAATGCGAAGAAATATAAAATGTGGAGTCAGAAACGTTAAAGACCAACACAATTGGAGTCACTGAACTGGCAGAATGATACAGAGGTAAGAGAGTAACTAACCACAGAGGGGGACAAGCGGACAAAGAGTAATAATAAACGGAGTTATAAAAAAAGCACTATTTTAGGATGGTGTGGTCGAGTAGCAGAACCTAGCATTAGAAACCAGAAGGTCTCAAGTTCGGTATTCTGTATCATGTAGCGCTCTTTGATTAGGGGGGGGGGGGGTTGTCTGACTTGAATTATAATTAAACAGAAAAAAATTGTTAGTCATAAAACATAAGTAGGTGCTATTTAACTTTTGTTTATATTGGCATTGAACGTAATATTGATTTAAAAATTGGTCTAACAGGAGTTGGTGGTCTATTTTTTTTTCCTCCTTTTTTTTTTAAAAAATGGGTCAGTGTGTATTCAGTTAAATTCGTGCACTGATTAAAGTAGTTTTAAGTAATTAGTTAAATAAGTAAGGGGGAGGTGTCTGTTTTTTAATTACCATAAAGTCCCTGGTTGGGCAGTAAAGGTATCTGTTGGTGCTTCGTAACTCTTCTTTCCTTGAATGCCCCCCCCCCCCCCCCACCCCCACGTATTAGCTAGACCTCCCTTTACCCCCACCCCCACACCCCACACCCACCACACACATCATCTATTTGTATTTAGTGCCAGCACCGGTTGGACGATAGGCAGAAGTGTACTACAACTTAACTCCCAACATAAAAGAGCGGTTAAAAATAAACATAAATGTCCTAAAGTTACTGGGTAACCGCCCTTGATTTCCTGAGTGAAGATTACCTCCCTTCTCGTGTAGCCGATAATCGCTCATCTTGGCCCGGCAAAGGAAGTTTTTTTTTTTTTTAACTGTACTGATAGGTGGTTTTGTTAATGCTTTGGGGAATGTATGGTACACCGTTTGAACATTTTACACCAAACGGGTATGAAAAACATTTGGCCAACATTTCTATTATTCCTTTTTGTGGATTGAACGACTGTTTATAGTTATTTATAAAAATATATTTTTAATTAATTTGCCCAACATTACTATTATTCCTTTCTGGGGATTGAACGACCGTTTATAGTTATTTATAAAAATATATTTTTAATTAATGTTTCATGAATAAAATATAAGGAAACCTAATAATAATATAATTATTAAAGGTGGTATATTTCAATAGTAAGTATAAAAGTAAGGTATAGTCAGGGTTGTTTTTTTTTTTTATTATGTTCTTGTAAACAAAACTGCTGGGTATTTAACAATTATTGATGTATGGGTTACGATTAGGATAAGTCAGATGTCTTATGTGGGTTAGGGCATAGGTTAGGTTAAGCAAAGTATAGGTATGGTCAAACATAACAAGTGTTAACAATGCAACCTCGATTCCGTTTAATTGGGAAATTGGTTAATTAGGTGAGACGTTAAGTTAGGCCGAATTGTAGAGAGCAAATATCGAACCTGTATCTACCGTGTATATTTAGACCACTGCTAAATTTGGGCTGAAAACTCAAGTGTTCTAGTGTCCCAATCACGAAGAATGGACTTGTTTCACTTTGTATCAGCACAGCTGTATTATTTAGAGCCATAGTGTTCCATCTTCTGTCACAGTGTCCATAACTTAAAATCTGAGTCGAACTGACTCCGAATTATGACGCCGACTGACTCTACCGTAAAAACCTCGTAATGACAGCTGAGTGTAATACAGAAATACTCCAGCGAGATGAATGCAATACACATTTTGTATAAAGAATAAACCGGGAGTGATCTCCCCTAAACTTTCTCGAATATTCTTATATAAAATAACAGGGGATGGAAACTCGGGCTATAGACATGATTTTTAATCCATTTTAAATACTTAAAGTTTTAAAAATAGAATAAAATCTCGTAGACAAATTAATTGCACACCAAGTGAACGCAAATAAAAAAAAGCGCATAATAGTGCGCAATATTATTAGTACTTTAAAAATTTACATTAGTTTTTTGAGAAATCGGAAGTAGCGTAAATTACTACTTCCAGTCAACGGAAATTACTCAAAATTTAACAGAAGGTAGAGAATTAGATCTTTTACTTACATGTGAAATTTCATTTATCTATCTGAAATAGTACTCAAGTTATAGGCTTTTAAAAAATTCAAAGTAGGAAAAGTACCACTTCCGGTTATCGGAAATCGCTCAAAAGTTGATACGGATCTACGATTTTGATAAAATACTTATATATGAAATTTCATGAACCTAGCTGTAACGGTACTCAAGTTACCGTGTTTACACACACACACACAGAGAGACAGACACACAGACAGACACACAGACATACGGACAAGATTGCAAAATTATGTTTTTCCGTATCAGTGAGATGTAAAACGTCGAGATTTGTAAAAATCTCGATTTTTTTTTTTGCACGATTACAATACTTTCTCTATACTTCGTAGATCTATATACGAGAAAGCAAAAATTAAATAAAATCATTTCTAGAATATATATCCGAATTGCAAGAAATTGCCATCCCGCTTACTGCTATACGAAAATAGGTTAGTGGAGACTACTCCTGCTTTATTCTGAATAACCTTAAAGTTGCGCTATTATAATCTCCAGGCAAGTATTTTGATTCGTAGTATTTGAGTTTGTTTTGATGATTAGCAATAATTATTTACAATGTCGAATTTAAAATGTATTGGAATGAATACTTTTGCGTGCCTTCTGCGGTAATTCCCACAAATGTCTTTGGATCTATTTTCGCAACG